TACCACTGAGTGACTGAAACGCTCTTGCGTGACAGCAACGCTCTTGCGGAGATCAGCGCTCCGGTTCCGTTCGCAATGACTCGATCACATCGATCGACATTTAGCTGGTGCCCAAAGTATATGGGCTTAAACCGTTACGTATATGAAGAGTGAGCTTGTTTATGGTGGATCTAAAAACTTAAATTCAAATCTCGTCAGCGATCTCATCGAGAGTTCGCTGTTCTGTTCTCAATTAAGAAACATAACATACACGTATTACACTTCTTTCATATATGTAGATGTAACCACCCTCTCGGACCAGTTCAAGACGATTCTAGTTTAATAATTTACTCTGTCGATTGATGAAGTAGGTTTAAAGCACGTCTAATAAACGTTTGTTGGCCAATTAGTGTATACGTATAACTATTCTTAAATTAGCTCATAATTAATGTAAAAATAATTACATTAACTTGACTACAATATTAGGTCCCATCTTAAAGATAATACTTAACCCCTTCAACCCGGTAGCTGTATAAGCTGCGTTTGGGTTCTGGAAGTTGCTCCGGTTATGGGGGCTTATGCTGTATATACAGCATAAGCAAATATAAACTTGCTTTCACTATGGTCGTGGAGTTTGCACATCCTTCGGTATACAAATTTTTATAAAACGGTTTGAAGCAAGAAAAGATCCGAATCGCCTTTCTTCAGTGGGTAGGGGTTTGAAATACCACTCTCCATTTTCTCGATATTTGAGTGTGTACTTTGACAGTTGGAGCAATCATTAAATAAAATATCGACTACAAATCACTCGGACCAGTCAGTTGAGATTTTTCGCCGAGAGAAGCAAAGCGATGGTTGGGACGCGCGGTAGCGCGCCGCGTAAGGATGTCGCAGCGCTGCCGGAAGCTGAGCGCGGCACGAAGCACTTCCGGGTCATATAGCCTGAATTCAAGAAGCTAGGATGGACCTCCAAGTCACCCCCTTCTCGCGGGATTGAAACGCGATGGAAGTACATCTTGCCTGGGGGTAATGCTAACGGCACTGTTGGGATCGACTTCGTCCTCGGAGAGCAAGCTGTGGTGGACCACGCTACAGAAAGTAAGGCATTGGTATATGTTAATGTGTTATCTCAGTTCTTATGACATGTATCGCATGTACAGTGGTCCGGCAGCAAGCTATTGACCGAGTCCGCGCCACAGCAGCTACCGAAGCCGCCAAAAAAACTCCAGCAGAACGCCCTTCGAGATCGTCGTCCAAGTCACCAATGAGGAAGTCGTCGCCCAAGTCACCCGTGCGGACGACTGGATCCCAGTCTACAACTTCTGATACCCCTGCAGGTAAGCGTCCGTTTGGTTTCAATTTACCGAGCATATATTAATCTGTATGAGTTAACATGTATATCACGCTTTGTTATGCTGTATGGTATAGATACGACTCCAAGTGTGCCTATTCCTCGTGCTTCCGAGGCGTGTACACAACAAGCCCATACGCCGCCAACTTCCCAGTCTCCAGACGGTATGTTGTACTCATATATTTTTCCATATTCAGTCTGAAGTTCTGCTAATCTGTATAATGTATGCTGTATTCTGCAGAATCTAACGTACACCAATCTACTACCACTGTTACCACTACCGAGGTGACACTCACGAAGACGCCGATGAAAAAGAAGAAAAGAAATCTCACGAGCGCGGGTGCCAAGGAACCGGAGATAGTAGATTCATTAGTATGCGACGAGGAAAGCAAAGCTGGTCCAGACATCACTGAACGTACGTTAACCTGTTTATGCTGTATATACATGATATGACTAACCTGTATCGTATGCTGTATTTGTATGCATTAGTGATTGATTTATCCGGAAATGATACGGATGATGCGAATACGTATCACGACGACGAGCGCAACTACCAAGTACTGGATTCGGGTGATGAATCCGAGGAAGGTGACCTGAATGATCTGGACAAGAGTGACTCCGAAGCATCTGTGTCGGACACTATTGATGAGGATGATGACGATGTCTTCTCAACCGAAGAACGCCACTTTGCAGATCATTTCTTGGGAAAATTGGGTGGTGAAGACAAGGTTCTTGCTGGTGAAATTCTCGGTCCTGCCTTGAAGGAACTAGCAACTACTGGATGGCATGAACGGAAAGTCCTGACGTGGAAGAATTTCTACAGACGCCGTACACTCCGGTTTCAGATGATGATGAATATCCTGATCTCCTGAACGCTCAACACGGACCCACTGAAGCGGCGCTCAAAAGGGGTGGTTAACCAATAGCTCTATTTTTCCTCTTCATGCCGGTGTCGATGTGGCAGCATATCTCCGAGTGCAGCAATTTCTACATGCATGAGCAGCTTGACAAGAGGGTGGACGAGCATTTTCAAAAAAAAGGAAGCTTTGGAACACCGCGCCAGGGCAGCGGGGAAAGTTGTGACGCCAACCAAGAAGACGAAGACTCGCCGTGATATACGACAAGATTTTCTGTCAGTGAAGCCCGTTTTACCGCATGAAATCTGCGTGTACATTGGACTTCTCGTCGCTCGGACGGTCATGCTCAATCGCGAGAAATTAGCAAACCATTGGCGGCAAGATGACGTCGGTGCAATTTCAAGGGGAATGTTTTGAGCAATTCTTGGCTCGAGACCGGTTTCTTGACATCAGTCAAAACCTTCACTTCAACAGCAACCAAGACCCACGTGCCAAGACTGACCGTGCTTGGAAAATCCGATCTGTAGTGAACGTTTTGCAGCAGACTTTCGTGAATTCATACATCCCTCCTGCGGAATTATCTTTTGATGAAGCCATGCTTCCGTCCCGGTCGTCCTACAACCGTACTCGAATGTATATGAAAGATAAGCCGCACAAGTGGGGGACAAAGCTTTTTATGCTTTGCTGTGCGCGCTCTGCTTATTGCATTCGGTAAAAGTGCCACTGTCATGTGCTGTATTATCTAAATTACTTATACTGTATATACAACTTCTTGATTTTGATAGATTTGAAGTTTACTGTGGGCAAAAGCAACACATTGCGGAGTCTGGCGTTGTGGACATGAAATCGGGTCCTGCTGCGGTTGTGCGCAACTTGAAGGCGGTGTTTGGTGACAAGCCTGCTGACAAGGCCATGCGACTCGTAGTGGTTGATCGCTTTTACACCTCTATCGTTCTGGCGGTGCAGTTACTGATCATTGGTTTCTATACAATTGGCACTATAATGACGAACCGCCGAGGATTTTGCAAGGCCGTGGTGACGAAGATGAAAACAAGACCCAAGAATATTCCACGCGGCTCTGTCACGTTTGCGCGCTCTAAACACGTGAACAACATGGCCGCTATTTGCTGGTGGGACAGCAAGCCTGTATCAGTCGGTGGAAATCTTTCGCTGGATAGAGTGGCTCGGAGGGAGAAGACTGGTCAACAGAACGAGATTGCCTGCCCGAAGGTGATCAAGGACTATCATCGCTTCATGGGCGGAGGTGACGTTCATGATCAACTCCGCCTCCAACGCTACTCTGTCCAGAGATCGATCACTTACCGCAAGTACTACAAGTCGTTGTTCCTGGGGCTTGTCGATCTGGCCATCACGAACGGGTTCATTGTGCATCGCGCGTACTGCAAGATGAAGAAGACGAAGGCGATGACGCATGTACAGTACATGTGTAAACTGCATCAGCAGCTTATTGGTCTCAGTGAGGACGACATGTACGAAGAAAACACCTTCCTACCTGGTAAGTCTCTATGATGTATCACTTACAATGTATATACAGTGAAGCTAACCTGAATATACAGATGAAGACATACCCGGGGAAGAGGAAGTCTTTCCCGACACAGAGAGTACCAGCCACAGCCCAAAGCAGAACGACGACTGGCGCGACCACTCGGGACAGCGGAAGAGGGTACAGAAGAACTGCAAGGTGTGTACCATGAGAACGGAAGGCAAGCGAGATATGAGATGGTATAATTTGGCATATCATCGAAGCGGAGATAGTATTCGCTAGTCTCGTCGATGGGGTTTCCATTGTTTTGCTGGAGCTGGAATTATAACTTGTTGCGATTAAAAGTAGCATGGAAATAATGTTATGAGTCTGGACTACTTCTGCGACAACTGTGACTTTGTGGGGCCGATTTACTTGAGCGTCAAGCCGAAGTGGCTGGAGTCTAACAAAATGACGAGTTGCTGGGATATTTGGCACAAGGTGTACAAGAACGGTAAAGAGATTTCAGAGGCCATGAAGACCAAGATCCGCGTGCGTGCTCCGAGGACGGCGGGTTCTCCAGGGAAGTCGCCAGCCAAGCGTCGACGCGTAGGCTCTGCCGAATCGGAAGACTCTGAAAACTCCGATGCTGATGAAGATTCCAAGTAAGTTTGAGTAGTAATGCATTGGTGAATAAACTTCGTGTTTCGTCTTTGAGCTATACGTTTTGTTTATGAAAGAAGCTTTCAAAAGAGACACCTGTCATCTGTGGGGAGTGGCCTGTTCAAAGAGCTCAATCTCTCACACTTAGTTGATGACAAGCAGTAGCCAGGCCATCCAAGACCTTGCTAGGTCTGATTGGCTAGATACGTATATCGTCATCATTGATTGCTCAATGGACGATTTATCTTTACTTGCGCAGAGTATAGCTATATCAGTAGCCTATCTAATGCACGCTTTCTCGAGTTTTAGAGATAAATTTCTCTACAGATCCGCGGCTCTCGCCCCAGCCGACTGGTAAGAGGCTTGGTCCATGCAACATAATCGGTCGAGTGGGCAACACACCGTTTTTAGCACAGCTGTAACAGCGTGCATAGCTCATGTGGAGCTGTAGTTATACCGGCTAGAGGCTCCTATGCACGGGTGTATATACAGCAAAAGCAACAACCAACCCCTACTGGTACGGACTCTCGCACGTCCCATCCGACTCCGTTCCCCTAGGGTATACTGAAACCCATATAAACGTACCACGTATATACAGCGTAGGCTAGAAAAAGGCAACAAAAATCTTCCAGGTTGAAGGAATTAATGAGTAAAGGTATAGGCGAGATGGTGCGAACCAAAACGCTTCGCGCTGGAGGAAGGGGAGGGGGGATTATACCTGCCATAGCTACTGCAGATAAGTCGAAGTGCTCATGGATGTTTGGAAGGCACCCATTTTGAAAGGACAAAGAAGAAGAAGAAACACAAACATAAGATCACATTTTTTCTAGGACATGGTACGGAAATTTCAATATTCCACAAATTGCTTGAGAAACAGCTCAACCACTGAGAGATGGTTCTTCCTGGTAGCAATGTTAAGAACTATGGCTCCGTTGAGACGAGTTGGTTCTGTGAATCAAATAAACTACATTGTCAGCTAACAGGTGTCTCTTTCGACGACGACAAGAAGTCGACCACGTCTTCTTGACCGTGTGCACGAGCAGTAGCAATGCAATCCATCCCCTCTTCGTCTCTGACGTCAGTGGCTGCCCCGTTCTCGACTAAAACCTGAACAACGCCGAGATGACCATTCTTGCAAGCGCCAAGCAGTGCAGTTGTTCCGTTTGGTCCTCGTTGATCAATGTTTGCTCCGGCATCTAGAAGCACCGAAACCACATCAACATGCCCCTCCATCGCAGCATTCAGTAGAGCGCTTTTGCCCTCATTATTGGTAAAATCCACTGATAATCCCTTTTCGATCAAAGTCTTTACCGCTTCATCGAGCCCTGATTTCGCTGCAAGCAGTAGGGCATTGTCACCGTCTCCATCAATCGCATCAATAGACGCCCCATGCTCAAGAAGAAACGCCACAGTATCTGAGAAACCATATTCCGACGCTACGAGTAACGCATACGACCCGTGTGGACATTGCGCGTTAATGTTGGCCCCTTCCTTCACAAGCAAGGCGACTACACTCACGTGGCCTTCGCCAGCAGCACTATGAAGAGGGTTCCATTCGTTGTTATTGGTGAACTCAATACTCGCTCCGTTATCAAGCAACCGATTTACACAATCAGTGTGACCATTTACAGCAGCAAGAATCAGTGGTGTATCGCCGTCTTCATCCACTGAATCCACGGGTGCATCATGTTCAAGTAGTATTTTCACAACGTCAACGTGTCCATTCTGACAGGAGAAATGAAGAGCTGTAGATCCACTTGAGCTCTGTTTATTCACAACTGCCCCCTTCTCCAGAAGGAACGATACTACGTCACTGTGACCCCCTTCACAGGCTTTCATTAACGGATTCTCACCAGAATTATTGAAAAATTCGACTGAGATACCGTTGTCGATGAGGAATGATACCACATCGAGATGTCCATTTCCAGCCGCTAAGATCAACAGATTGTAGCCGTTATCATCCACTGCGTCGAGGGATGCGCCACGATCAAGAAGAAGACGGATAATATCGAGATGTCCATTCAGAGCAGCACCCTGAATTGGATTCCCACCAGCGTTGTTGGTATCTGTGATAGACGCTCCATGTTGGAACAAAAACTCCACGATTTCAATAGGACCGTTCTCAGCCGCAGTGATTAATGGCGTGTTGCCATCTTCATCCACTGCGTCAATACACGCTCCGTATTCCACTAATTTCT